TCCAGGGTCGGTCCTGGGTCGGTCCAGGGTCCGGTCGGTCGGTCCAGGGTCGGTCCTGGGTCGGTCCAGGGTCGGTCCTGGGTCGGTCCAGGGTCGGTCCAGGGTCGGTCCAGGGTCGGTCCAGGGTCGGTCCAGGGTCGGTCCTGGGTCGGTCCAGGGTCGGTCCAGGGTCGGTCCAGGGTCGGTCCAGGGTCGGTCCAGGGTCGGTCCAGGTCGGTCCAGGGTCGGTCCAGGGTCGGTCCTGGGTCGGTCCAGGGTCGGTCCAGGGTCGGTCCAGGGTCGGTCCAGGTCGGTCAGGGTCCAGGGTCGGTCCAGGGTCGGTCCAGGGTCGGCTGGGTCGGTCCAGGGTCGGTCCAGGGTCGGTCCTGGGTCGGTCCGGTCGGTCCTGGGTCGGTCCTGGGTCGGTCCTGGGTCGGTCCAGGGTCGGTCCAGGGTCGGTCCTGGGTCGGTCCTGGGTCGGTCCAGGGTCGGTCCAGGGTCGGTCTCACCTGGACGACCCCGTTGGCGTGCAGACTGATGCAGTTGTCCACGTCCTTGGAGAGCTGGTACAGGGCCACCGCCGCCGTCTGGTGCACGCCGCTGTCGTTGGACTTCACGTATCTGACCAGAGGGGGCACCACTCCCGCCTTCCCGAACGCCGCGCGGTTTTGACCCCACATGCAGCAGTTGGCGATGGCGTCGGCGAGGTGGCGCCGCAGCCGCTCGTCTTTCTGTGAAGACAAACACGGAACTGTCTTTTTCTAATGGAAATGTGAGGTTCAGTGGTGTGAGACTCTCAGTGGACTCATGGTGGACTCATGGTGGACTCATGGTGGACTCGCGGTGGACTCGCGGGGACTCATGGTGGACTCATGGTGGACTCTCAGTGGACTCATGGTGGACTCGCGTTGGACTCGCGGTGGACTCGCGGGGACTGTGGTGGACTCGCGAGGGACTCCGGGGGACTCGGACTCGGGGACTCGCGGGGGACTCATGGTGGACTCATGGTGGACTCTCGTGGACTCATGGTGGACTCGCGTTGGACTCGCGGGGGACTCGCGGGGGACTTGTGGTGGACTCGCGGGACTCGGGGACTCATGGTGGACTCATGGTGGACGACTCGGTGGACTCCTCGGGGACTTGTGGTGGACTCGCGGGGACTCATGGTGGACTCATGGTGGACTCTCAGTGGACTCATGGTGGACTCGCGGTGGACTCGCGGTGGACTCGGGGGACTTGTGGTGGACTCGCGTTGGACTCGCGGGGGACTCGTGGACTCATGGTGGACTCGCGGGGACTCATGTGGACTCATGGTGGACTCGCAGTGGACTCATGGTGGACTCGCGGTGGACTCGCGGTGGACTCGCGGGGACTTGTGGTGGACTCGCGGACTTGGGGACTCATGGTGGACTCATGGTGGACTCGCGGGGGACTCGGACTGGTGGACTCGGGGACTCGGTGGACCGTGGTGGACTCGTGGTGGACTCCGGGGGACTCATGGGTGGACTCGCGGTGGACTCGGGGGGACTCTCGGTGGACTCGCGGTGGACTCGCGGGGACGGTGGCTGGACTCGCGGACTGGTGGACTCGCGGGGTGGACTCATGGTGGACTGGACTCGCGGTGGACTCGCGGTGGACTCAGATGGTGACTCTGGTGGACTCGCGGGGGACTCATGGTGGACTCGCGGGGTGGACTCGCAGGGGACTTGGTGGTGGACTCGCGGTGGACTCATGGTGGACTCGCGGTGGACTCATGGTGGACTCTCGACTCGTGGTGGACTCATGGTGGACTCGCGGTGGACTCGCGGTGGACTCATGGTGGACTCTCGGGGGACTCGTGGTGGACTCGCGGTGGACTCACGGTGGACTCATGGGTGGACTCGGGTGGACTCGGTGGACTCGCAGGGGACTTGTGGTGGACTCGACTCGGGGGACTCATGGTGGACTTCGGGGACTCATGGTGGACTCATGGTGGACTCGCGGTGGACTGGGGACTCTCGGTAGACTCGCGTGGACTCATGGGGACTCTCGGTAACTGGTGGACTGGACTCGTGGACTCATGGTGGACTGGTGGACTCGGTGGACTGGTGGACTCATGGTGGACTCGCTGGACTCATGGGGGACTCTCGTAGACTCGTGGACTCGTGGACTCATGGTGGACTCGGGGACTCGGGACTCTGGACTCATGGTGGACTCGCGGTGGACTCGCGGGACGTGGACTCATGGTGGACTCATGGGACTCTCGGTGGACTCATGGGGGACTCTCGGTAGACTCGCGGTGGACTCATGGACTGGGACTCGCGGTGGACTCATGGTGGACTCTCGGACTCGGGGACTCTCGGTCTGGACTCGGGGGACTCGTGGACTCATGGTGGACTCGCGGTGGACTCGCGGTGGACTCATGGTGGACTCTCGGTGGACTCGCGGTGGACTCGCAGGGGACTTGTGGTGGACTCGCGGGGGACTCATGGTGGACTCATGGTGGACTCATCGGGGGACTCTCGGGGGACTCGCGGGGGACTCGCGGTGGACTCTCGGGGACTCGTGGTGGACTCTCGGGGGACTCGCGGGGGACTCGCGGGGGACTCGCGGGGGACTCTCGGTGGACTCGCCCCGTGTCCGTGTCCGTGTCGGTTTTGCGGCGGTTTCGTTGACTTCAGGCGTGGCTGGAGCAGCTGAAGGAGTTTTGGGAGTTTTGTGGAAACGTTTAAGTTTGAGACTCACGGTGCCGGTGAGGTTGGCGAGCAGAGGCACCGCGCCGTAGTCCGTCAGCAGAGCCACGTTCTCCTCTTTGTCCTCGGTGATTTTAGCGATAACAGCGCAGATACTGGCCAAGACCTGCAGGGGGCGCAGGACAAAGAAGAGAACACACTGGTTCAGTCCTGTTATTATAGTCCAGTTGTAGTCCTGGTTTAGTCCTGGTTCAGTCCTGGTTTAGTTCTGTTTAGTCCTGTTTAGTCCTGGTTTAGTCCTGGTTCAGTCCTGGTTTAGTTCTGGTTTAGTCCTGGTTTAGTCCTGGTTTAGTCCTGGTTTAGTCCTGGTTTAGTCCTGGTTTAGTCCTGGTTTAGTCCTGGTTTAGTCCTGGTTTAGTTCTGGTTTAGTCCTGGTTCAGTCCTGGTTTAGTTCTGGTTCAGTCCTGGTTTAGTCCTGGTTTAGTCCTGGTTTAGTCCTGGTTCAGTCCTGGTTTAGTCCTGGTTTAGTCCTGGTTTAGTCCTGGTTTAGTCCTGGTTTAGTCCTGGTTTAGTCCTGGTTTAGTCCTGGTTTAGTCCTGGTTCAGTCCTGGTTTGACCTCGTTGTTGTTGGACTTGAGGAGTTTGATGAGGAGTTGAAATCCTCCGATGAGACGTCGCATCGACTCACTCACGTCCTGAGACAAACACAGACTCAGGAAATACACACGAACAAGTACAAGTACAAGTACAAGGAACAAGTACAAGTACAAGTACAAGTACAAGGAACAAGTACAAGTACAAGTACAAGTACAAGTACAAGTACAAGGAACAAGTACAAGGAACAAGTACAAGTACAAGGACAAGGAACAAGTACAAGTACAAGTAACAAGTACAAGTACAAGTACAAATATGAGTATGAGTACCAGTACAGGTACAGGCACAAGTACGAGTACAAGATTATTTTTTTTCTTTTCGTTTGATTCATATTTGTTTTTACTTTTCAATTTAATTTTGCCTCGCCGTTGTGGTGATGTGGTGAGGTGGGAGGACCTTGCCGTTGTGGGTGATGTGGTGAGGTGGTGAGTACCTTGCCGTTGTGGGTGATGTGGTGAGGTGTGATGTGGTGAGGTACCTTGCCGTTGTGGATGATGTGGTGAGGTGGGAGTACCTTGCCGTTGTGGATGATGTGGTGAGGTGGGAGTACCTTGCCGTTGTGGGTGATGTGGTGAGGTGGGAGTACCTTGCCGTTGTGGTGATGTGGTGAGGTGGGAGTACCTTGCCGTTGTGGGTGATGTGGTGAGGTGGGAGTACCTTGCCGTTGTGGATGATGTGGTGAGGTGGGAGTACCTTGCCGTTGTGGATGATGTGGTGAGGTGGGAGGACCTTGCCGTTGTGTGTGATGTGGTGAGGTGGGAGTACCTCGCCGTTGTGGGTGATGTGGTGAGGTGGGAGTACCTCGCCGTTGTGTGTGATGTGGTGAGGTGGGAGTACCTCGCCGTTGTGTGTGATGTGGTGAGGTGGGAGTACCTTGCCGTTGTGGATGATGGGGCACAGGGCCCAGGCGGCGCTGGACTGGACTTCAGGACTCGGGTTTTTGAGGAGGGACCAGACCAGACGAAGCCCGTCCAGCTGATCGATGATTCTGCCCAACAAACACGAGGAGGAAGAGGAGGAAGAGGAAGAGGTACCCGATTTACACGAGTCTGTCTCAACCAATCATCAACACACACGAGGAGACTTTTATACTTTTATACTTTTATTACTTTTATACTTTTATACTTTTATTACTTTTATACTTTTATACTTTTATACTTTTATACTTTTATACTTTTATTACTTTTATACTTTTATACTTTTATTACTTTTATACTTTTATTACTTTTATACTTTTATACTTTTATACTTTTATACTTTTATTACTTTTATTACTTTTATTACTTTTATTACTTTTATTACTTTTATTACTTTTATTACTTTTATACTTTTATTACTTTTATACTTTTATTACTTTTATACTTTTATACTTTTATTACTTTTATTACTTTTATACTTTTATTACTTTTATACTTTTATTACTTTTATTACTTTTATACTTTTATTACTTTTATTACTTTTATTACTTTTATACTTTTATTACTTTTATTACTTTTATATACTTTTATTTTTACTTACTTTTTACTTTTACTTTTATACTTTTATACTTTTATTACTTTTATACTTTTATACTTTTATACTTTTATACTTTTATACTTTTATTACTTTTATACTTTTTTATTACTTTTATTACTTTTATACTTTTATACTTTTACTTTTTACTTTTTATACTTTTATACTTTTATTACTTTTATACTTTTATACTTTTACTTTTTACTTTTATACTTTTATTACTTTTATACTTTTATTACTTTTATTACTTTTATTACTTTTACTTTTTTACTTTTATACTTTTTACTTTATACTTTTATTACTTTTATTACTTTTTATTACTTTTATTACTTTTTACTTTTTTACTTTTATACTTTTATTACTTTTATTACTTTTTATACTTTTATTACTTTTTACTTTTTACTTTTTATTACTTTTATACTTTTATACTTTTATACTTTTATTACTTTTATACTTTTATTACTTTTACACTTTTATTACTTTTATACTTTTATTACTTTTATTACTTTTATTACTTTTATTACTTTTATACTTTTATACTTTTATTACTTTTATACTTTTATACTTTTATACTTTTATTACTTTTATACTTTTATTACTTTTATACTTTTATACTTTTATACTTTTATACTTTTATTACTTTTATACTTTTATTACTTTTATTACTTTTATACTTTTATTACTTTTATACTTTTACTCCTGTGCTTGTGTGTGGAGAAGTTTCTCTCTAGAATAAAGTGGATTAAAAACATCAGACTCGTGTTTGTCTCATGGATGAAGCTCCTGGTGTTTGTGTCTGGATGAAGCTCCTGGTGTTTGTCTCATGGATGAAGCTCCTGGTGTTTGTGTCTGGATGAAGCTCCTGGTGTTTGTGTCTGGTTGAAGCTCCTGGTGTTTGTGTCATGGATGAAGCTCCTGGTGTTTGTGTCTGGATGAAGCTCCTGGTGTTTGTGTCTGGATGAAGCTCCTGGTGTTTGTGTCTGGATGAAGCTCCTGGTGTTTGTGTCTGGATGAAGCTCCTGGTGTTTGGTCTGGATGAAGCTCCTGGTGTTTGTGTCTGGATGAAGCTCTGGTGTTTGTCTCATGGATGAAGCTCTGTTTGTGTTTGTGTCTGGTTGAAAGCTCCTGGTGTTTGTGTCTGGATGAAGCTCCTGGTGTTTGTGTCATGGATGAAGCTCCTGGTGTTTGTGTCTGGATGAAGCCCTGGTGTTTGTGTCTGGATGAAGCTCCTGGTGTTTGTGGATGAAGCTCCTGGTGTTGTGTCTGGAGCTCCTGGTGTTTGTTGGATGAAGCTCCTGGTGTGTTGTGAAGTCTGGATGAAGCTCCTGGTGTTTGTCTCATGGATGAAGCTCTGTGTTTTGTGTCATGGATGAAGCTCCTGGTGTTTGTGTCATGGATGAAGCTCCTGGTGTTTGTGTCTGGATGAAGCTCCTGGTGTTTGTGTCTGGATGAAGCTCCTGGTGTTTGTGTCTGGATGAAGCTCCTGGTGTTTGTGTCTGGATGAAGCTCCTGGTGTTTGTGTCTGGATGAAGCTCCTGGTGTTTGTGTCTGGATGAAGCTCCTGGTGTTTGTGTCTGGATGAAGCTCCTGGTGTTTGTGTCTGGATGAAGCTCCTGTGTTTGTGTCTGGATGAAGCTCCTGGTGTTTGTGTTCTGTGTCTGGATGAAGCTCCTGGTGTTTGTGTCTGGATGAAGCTCCTGGTGTTTGTGTCTGGATGAAGCTCCTGGTGTTTGTGTGATGATGAAGCTCCTGGTGTTTGTCTCATGGATGAAGCTCTGGTGTTTGTGTCATGGATGAAGCTCCTGGTGTTTGTCTCATGGATGAAGCTCCTGGTGTTTTGTGTCATGGTTGAAGCTCCTGGTGTTTGTGTCTGGATGAAGCTCCTGGTGTTTGTGTCATGGATGAAGCTCCTGGTGTTTGTGTCTGGATGAAGCTCCTGGTGTTTGTGTCTGGATGAAGCTCCTGGTGTTTGTGTCATGGATGAAGCTCCTGGTGTTTGTGTCTGGATGAAGCTCCTGGTGTTTGTGTCTGGATGAAGCTCCTGGTGTTTGTGTCATGGATGAAGCTCCTGGTGTTTGTGTCTGGATGAAGCTCCTGGTGTTTGTGTCTGGATGAAGCTCCTGGTGTTTGTGTCTGGATGAAGCTCCTGGTGTTTGTGTCTGGATGAAGCTCCTGGTGTTTGTCTCATGGATGAAGCTCCTGTTTGTGTCTGGTGAATGGATGAAGCTCCTGGGTTTGTTCTGGATGAAGCTCTGGATGAAGCTCCTGGTGTTTGTGTCATGGATGAAGCTCCTGTTTGTGTCTGGATGAAAGCTCTGTGTCTGATGTGTCTCATGGATGAAGCTCCTGGTGTTTGTGTCTGGATGAAGCTCCTGGTGTTTGTCTCATGGATGAAGCTCCTGGTGTTTGTGTCTGGATGAAGCTCCTGGTGTTTGTGTCATGGATGAAGCTCCTGGTGTTTGTGTCTGGATGAAGCTCCTGGTGTTTGTGTCTGGATGAAGCTCCTGGTGTTTGTGTCTCATGGATGAAGCTCCTGGTGTTTGTGTCTGATGATGAAGCTCCTGGTGTTTGTGTCTGGATGAAGCTCCTGGTGTTTGTGTCATGGATGAAGCTCCTGGTGTTTGTGTCTGGATGAAGCTCCTGGTGTTTGTCTCATGGATGAAGCTCCTGGTGTTTGTGTCTGGATGAAGCTCCTGGTGTTTGTGTCATGGATGAAGCTCCTGGTGTTTGTGTCTGGATGAAGCTCCTGGTGTTTGTCTCATGGATGAAGCTCCTGGTGTTTGTGTCTGGATGAAGCTCCTGGTGTTTGTGTCTGGATGAAGCTCCTGGTGTTTGTCTCATGGATGAAGCTCCTGTGTTGTGTCTGGATGAAGCTCCTGGTGTTTGTCTCATGGATGAAGCTCCTGGTGTTTGTGTCTGGATGAAGCTCCTGGTGTTTGTGTCATGGATGAAGCTCCTGGTGTTTGTGTCTGGATGAAGCTCCTGGTGTTTGTCTCATGGATGAAGCTCCTGTTGAAGCTCCTGGTGTTTGTGTCTGGATGAAGCTCCTGGTGTTTGTGTCATGGATGAAGCTCCTGGTGTTTGTGTCTGGATGAAGCTCCTGGTGTTTGTGTCATGGATGAAGCTCCTGGTGTTTGTGTCTGGATGAAGCTCCTGGTGTTTGTGTCTGGATGAAGCTCCTGGTGTTTGTCTCATGGATGAAGCTCCTGGTGTTTGTGTCTGGATGAAGCTCCTGGTGTTTGTGTCATGGATGAAGCTCCTGGTGTTTGTGTCTGGATGAAGCTCCTGGTGTTTGTGTCATGGATGAAGCTCCTGGTGTTTGTGTCTGGATGAAGCTCCTGGTGTTTGTGTCATGGATGAAGCTCCTGGTGTTTGTGTCATGGATGAAGCTCCTGGTGTTTGTGTCTGGATGAAGCTCCTGGTGTTTGTGTCTGGATGAAGCTCCTGGTGTTTGTGTCTGGATGAAGCTCCTGGTGTTTGTGTCATGGATGAAGCTCCTGGTGTTTGTGTCTGGATGAAGCTCCTGGTGTTTGTCTCATGGATGAAGCTCCTGGTGTTGTGTCTGGATGAAGCTCCTGGTGGTGTTTGTGTCTGGATGAAGCTCCTGGTGTTTGTCTCATGGATGAAGCTCCTGGTGTTTGTGTCTGGATGAAGCTCCTGGTGTTTGTCTCATGGATGAAGCTCCTGGTGTTTGTCTCATGGATGAAGCTCCTGGTGTTTGTGTCTGGATGAAGCTCCTGGTGTTTGTCTCAGCTCCTGGATGAAGCTCCTGGTGTTGTCTCATGGATGAAGCTCCTGGTGTTTGTGTCTGGATGAAGCTCCTGGTGTTTGTGTCTGGATGAAGCTCCTGGTGTTTGTGTCTGGATGAAGCTCCTGGTGTTTGTGTCTGTGATGATGAAGCTCCTGGTGTTTGTGTCTGGAATGAAGCTCCTGGTGTTTGTGTCATGGATGAAGCTCCTGTGTTTGTGTCTGGATGAAGCTCCTGGTGTTTGTGTCTGGATGAAGCTCCTGGTGTTTGTGTCATGGATGAAGCTCCTGGTGTTTGTGTCTGGATGAAGCTCCTGGTGTTTGTCTCATGGATGAAGCTCCTGGTGTTTGTGTCATGGATGAAGCTCCTGGTGTTGTGTCTGGATGAAGCTCCTGGTGTTTGTCTCATGGATGAAGCTCCTGGTGTTTGTCTCATGGATGAAGCTCCTGGTGTTTGTGTCTGGATGAAGCTCCTGTGTTGTGTCTGGATGAAGCTCCTGGTCTGTTTGTGTCTGGATGAAGCTCCTGGTGTTTGTGTCTGGATGAAGCTCTGGTGTTTGTCTCATGGATGAAGCTCCTGGTGTTTGTCTCATGGATGAAGCTCCTGGTGTCCTTGTGTCTCATGGATGAAGCTCCTGGTGTTTGTGTCTGGATGAAGCTCCTGGTGTTGTGTTTGTCTGGATGAAGCTCCTGGTGTTTGTGTCTGGATGAAGCTCCTGGTGTTTGTGTCTGGATGAAGCTCCTGGTGTTTGTGTCTGGTTGATTCTCTTACGTCATGTTCTTCATGTCGGTGGCGCAGATTCCTAAAGTTCTGGTCACGTTCACGAGCAGAGCCTGAAATCCAACAAACTCAGAGTCAAGATGTTTTTGCTGCAGAGTTTTTTTTTTCTGACCAGAGGAAAAACCGTGGTGTGTGTATCTGCCGACGCGCTCGGACCTGGTTCCTCCCGGTGAGCAGCTGCACCAGCTTCTCGACGCCTCCGCTCTGCCCGATCACGCCTCTGTTCGCCGGGATCTGAGCGAACTCCCCGAGCGCCGCCACCACGTTCACCAGGACCTCCTCCGGCTGCTCCCACATCAGAGACACCAGACGCTCCAGCACGTGCAGCTCCTGGAACCTGGAACCACCGCAAGACCACACCAGGAGAACATGACCACACCAGGAGAACATGACCACACCAGGAGAACATGACCACACCAGGAGACCAACACATGACCACACCAGGAGAACATGACCACACCAGGAGAACATGACCACGACCACACCAGGAGAACACGACCACACACAGAGAGAACAAGACCACCACACCAGGAGAACATGACCACACCAGGAGAACATGACCACACCAGGAGAACAGACCACACCAGGAGAACATACATGACCACACCAGGAGAACATGACCACACACCAGGAGGACCACACCAGAACAGACCACACCAGGAGAACATGACCACACCAGGAGAACATGACCACACCAGGAGAACATGACCACACCAGGAGAACATGACCACACCAGAGAACAGACCACACACATGACCACACCAGGGAACAGAACACGACCACACCAGGAGGAACATGACCACACCAGGAGAACATGACCACACCAGGAGAGAACATGACCACACCAGGAGAACATGACCACACCAGGAGAACATGACCACACCAGGAGAACATGACCACACCAGGAGAACACGACCACACCAGGAGAACATGACCACACCAGGAGAACACGACCACACCAGGAGAACATGACCACACCAGGAGAACATGACCACACCAGAGAACAGAACACGACCACACCAGGAGAACATGACCACACCAGGAGAACATGACCACACCAGGAGAACATGACCACACCAGGAGAACATGACCACACCAGGAGAACATGACCACACCAGGAGAACATGACCACACCAGGAGAACATGACCACACCAGGAGAACATGACCACACCAGGAGAACAAGACCACACCAGGAGAACACGACCACACCAGGAGAACATGACCACACCAGGAGAACATGACCACACCAGGAGAACATGACCGACCACACCAGAGAACAGAGAGACCACACATGACCACACCAGGAGAGACCACACCAGGAGAACATGACCACACCAGGAGAACATGACCACACCAGGGAACACGACCACACAGGAGAACATGACCACACCAGGAGAACATGACCACACCAGAGAACAGACACACACACACACATGACCACACCAGAGACCACACATGACCACACCAGGAGAACAGACCACACCAGGAGAACATGACCACACCAGGAGAACATGACCACACCAGGAGAACACGACCACACCAGGAGAACATGACCACACCAGGAGAACATGACCACACCAGGAGACACAAGACCACACCAGGAGAACAGACCACACACAGACCACACCAGGAGGACCACACCAGGAGACCACACCACGACCACACCAGGAGAACACGACCACACCAGGAGAACACGACCACACCAGGAGAACACGACCACACCAGGAGAACACGACCACACCAGGAGAACATGACCACACCAGGAGAACAAGACCACACCAGGAGAACACGACCACACCAGGAGAACATGACCACACCAGGAGAACATGACCACACCAGAGAGAACAAGACCACACCAGGAGAACATGACCACAAGAGAAGAACACAGGAGACACAGGAGATGATCAGAAATATCACACAATAACATGATGTTTGTGGTTCTTACTGGTGATGTTCTTGTGACTGTGTTTCTTACTGGTGTGTTGTTCTTACTGGTGATGTTCTTGTGTTCTTACTGTGATGTTCTTGTTCTTGTGTTCTTACTGGTGATGTTCTTGTGGTTCTTACTGGTGATGTTCTTGTGTTTCTTACTGGTGATGTTCTTGTGGTTCTTACTGGTGATGTTCTTGTGGTTCTTACTGGTGATGTTCTTGTGTTCTTACTGGTGATGTTCTTGTGGTTCTTACCTGGTGATGTTCTTGTGGTTCTTACTGGTGATGTTCTTGTGGTTCTTACCTGGTGATGTTCTTGTGGTTCTTACTGGTGATGTTCTTGTGGTTCTTACTGGTGATGTTCTTGTGGTTCTTACTGGTGATGTTCTTGTGGTTCTTACTGGTGATGTTCTTGTGGTTCTTACCTGGTGACGTTCTTGTGGCTGAGGGAACATTTCCACACGGCTCCTGTGGCGGCCTCCAGCAGATCTTTGTTCTGGGCTTTGTTGAGCAGCAGAGTCAGACGCTGAGGTCCTCTGTACTGATGAATCAGATCTCGAGTTTTCTCGTCCTCAGCGCACTAACGACAACAACAACATAAACAACATAAACAACGACAACAACGACATCAACAACAACAATAACAACAACAACAACAACATAAACAACAACAACACATAAACATAAACAACAACAGCAATAACAATAACATCAATAACAACAACAATAACAACAACAACAACAACAACAACGACATCAACAACAACAACAATAACAACAACAACAACACATCAACAACAACAACAACATAAACAACAACAGCAATAACAATAACATCAATAACAACAACAATAACAACAACAACAACACAGTACAGTAATACAGTAGTACAGTACTACTGTACTACTGTACTACTGTACAGTACTGTACTGTACTACTGTATTACAGTAGTACAGTAGTACAGTAGTACAGTACTGTACAGTGTTGTCACGAGGTTCATATGTTCTAGAGCCGAGTGTTTTCAGACAGAACGGACTTGTGTGTTTATTTATTTGGTGTGTTTATTTATTTGGTGTGTTTATTTATTTGGTGTGTTTATTTATTTGGTGTGTTTATTTGGTGTTTATTTGTGGACAGATCATCCGGGGCCGTGAGACTCAGACCTTGAAGATGGCGCTGGCCGAGTGCATCTGCAGCTCCTCGTTTTCACTGCTCAGGTTTTTCACCAGGTCTTTGATCATCCCTTCACTTCGGATGGCGTTTCTGTAGCTCTCCTGTAGGGGGCAGAAGGAGACGCGTCACACTCCGCCCCGTCACACTCCGCCCCGTCACACTCCGCCCCGTCACACTATGTCCAGTCACACTCCGCCCCGTCACACTCCGCCCCGTCACACTCCGCCCCGTCACACTATGTCCAGTCACACTATGTCACACTATGTCACACTATGTCCAGTCACACTATGTCCTGTCACACTATGTCACACTATGTCCAGTCACACTATGTCCAGTCACACTACGCCCCGTCACACTATGTCCAGTCACACTATGTCCTGTCACACTATGTCCAGTCACACTATGTCCAGTCACACTGTCCGCCACACCCGTCACACTATGTCCAGTCACACTATGTCACACTGTCACACTATGTCACAGTCACACTGTCACACTGTCAGTCACACTATGTCCGCACCCGTCACACTATGTCCGCCCCGTCACACTCCGTCCCGTCACACTATGTCCAGTCACACTATGTCACACTGTCACACTATGTACAGTCACACTATGTCACACTATGTGTCACACTATGTCCAGTCACACTATGTCCAGTCACACTACGCCCCGTCACACTATGTCCAGTCACACTATGTCCCGTCACACTATGTCCAGTCACACTATGTCCTGTCACACTATGTCCAGTCACACTATGTCCTGTCACACTATGTCCAGTCACACTATGTCCAGTCACACTATGTCCAGTCACACTATGTCCTGTCAGTCACACTATGTCCAGTCACACTATGTCCAGTCACACTATGTCCTGTCACACTATGTCCAGTCACACTATGTCCTGTCACACTATGTCCAGTCACACTATGTCCTGTCACACTATGTCCAGTCACACTATGTCCTGTCACACTATGTCCTGTCACACTATGTCCAGTCACACGTGTAACACTGGACTGTTGAGCTGTGAACATTTCCAGACTGTTTCTGATTCGTTTGTTCAGACTTTGTCAGATTTAATAAATCGACTTTACTTGAAAAAATCTCGGAAAATTGATTATCTTGAAAAATGTGACTGAAGCGGGAGGCGACTGTGAATCTGAAGTTGAGTTGAATATATTTCCTCAGTTCAGTAAATTCTTCTTTCATCGAGCTCGGTTCAACAAGTGAAGTGAACTTTAGTTTTATTCACAGAAGCTGAACCAACGAATCAGTCAGATCCTCGACTCTGAAACATGGAGGAACTTTTACTTTAAGAGGAAGTTCATCTTGGTAAAAACAAACCGAGACCAAGAACCTTCAAGACCGAGACGAGACCAAGACCATAAAAAACAAACAAAAAAAGTCTTGTGTTGACGATCGGTCCTGAGTGCGACGACACTGAAAAAGTCGCCTGTTCTGCTGTTTGTTCAGATCAGTGTATTTTTGAAAAGCTCAAAAGCACAACAACAGTCGCCTCAGGGTCAACAAGATGAACGATTGAACTGAAATAAAGTGACTGTCCCAGAGCGTCCCCTGTCCCCCAAGTGTCTCCTGTCCCAGAGTGTCTCTGTCCCCTGTCCCCCAAGTGTCCCCTGTCCCCCAAGTGTCTCCTGTCCCCCAAGTGTCTCCTGTCCCCCAAGTGTCCCCTGTCCCTGGAGCGTCTCCTGTCCCAGATCGTCTCCTGTCCCCCAAGTGTCCCCTGTCCCCCAAGTGTCTCCTGTCCCCCAAGTGTCTCCTGTCCCCCAAGTGTCTCCTGTCCCAGAGCGTCTCCTGTCCCTGGAGCGTCTCCTGTCCCAGAGCCCCCCTGTCCCCCAAGTGTCCCCTGCCCCAGAGTGTCTCCTGTCCCAGAGCGCCTCCTGTCCCCCAAGTGTCCCCTGTCCCTCGAGCCCCCTGTCCCTGGAGCGTCCCCTGCGTCCTCTGGGTGCGGCGTTACCTCGGAGGCGCACTCCTGCAGCGTCCCCATGACGGGGATCAGGGTGCTGACGTGGGGCGAGCGCAGCAGTCGGCCCAGCAGGGGGATTCCTCCCGCTTTTCTGATCCACTCTTTGTTCCTGGAGCTTCGGCTGCAGCTCCACAGAGCCAGAGCCCCACAGCGAGCAGCCTCCACGTGAAGCTCCTCGGACGGGGACAGGTCCAGGAGTCTGACCTGGACAGAGCGAGGAGGACGAGACCGAGAATCAAACACTGTACTCGAGTAAAAGTAACGTTACAGAATAATAATAATAATAATGATATGCAGAAATATAAAGTTGTGCTCCAAGAAATCTGGAGAAAGTACGACTCAAGTCAGAATCGGTTCGGTTTACGGTGTAACGTTTGTGGTGGAGGATGTGGAGGATTTAATGTCTCCAGGGAAATGTTTATTACTTTGTCTCGAATGTTCTTTGGCAAAAGGAGAAATTCAATTTGTCGACTGGACAAATGTTTAGGTTGAAAACGTTCCTCAGCTCATCCAAGCTGCTTCTTCAGTTCTGGTCAAATGTTGGTGGACACTTCTGTAAATCTGCCTGAAGGAGGAGCTCACTACACTGAAACTCCTCTGAAACTAACACACATTTTCTACTAGTTTCTGTTTGTAGCTCGGCCTGTTCTTCTGTCCTGAGTGTCGACATATCAGCAGAATCATTCAGGCCATAAGAGGTGGGTGTTTTCACACCTCTGGTCCTGACCTGACTCGTCCTGTTGTTTTCTTCGTTTTTAGGTCTAAGGATGTAGATGGAGACAGATGTTTTCTGAGGTCTCCATTTCTGTTCAAAGAAGATTCTCTTGACTTATAAAAACAGCCTCTTTATCTCTCTTCTCAAACAGTTTCTTTTCTCTGGCTCAGACCTGAACTTTACTGTCCTCAAAGCAACGACCCGAGGCTTTTAAAAAGGTGGAGCTGCACAGAAGACTGAGGTCCTGTGTTGTTCTCTCGCTGCAGTCTGAGATCACGTTACTTTGTTTGTGGCTCGGTGTTTTGTCTTAAATAAACGTTTGTCCAGTTGACAAATTGAATTTCCTTTTTATCGTGGATTCCATCTGGACGACTGAGGGGTTTTACTCACATTAAACGTTTCTGTCCCGAGGGAGACGAGCAGGTCACAGCTCTATGTTACTTTACAGGTCAGATCTGTGGAGAGGAGCTCAGAGCCTGTGGGACTGAGCTGCTCTGCTGCTCTGAAGGATCTGAACTAAACTAAAACTAAACCTTTCTCATCCAAACAAAGAGAGGCTCCTGCAAAGACTAAAGAGGCTGAACTACCAGAAACATCAACACTGAAATTTAACTCGACTTTCACAGACACAAAAAAACAACAACAGTCACATGAGACAAGGGCTGAGATATGGATTTGTTTTTAGACGATTCCGATATGTGATATTTGTGTTTTCAGGTTCTTTTTCCAGACCCAGAGTTTGTTCTGCTCCTCTTCCTCTTCCTCTTGATCTGCTGATGTTTCTGTGTCGTGGCTCAGTTGCTTGAGTCCAACTTCCTCGGGACAGAATCATCCAGGTGTGTGAGAGGAAAAAAGCCCCTCGTCCCGGTTGGTCGTCCGGTGGGCACATTACTGTATTTCGTTTGCCTCCTACGGCTACGGTGTTTGTTTTCCTCTGTCCCAGTGATGTTTGTTAGTCTGATTCATCAGTCGGTTTCACTTGGTGGAAACCGTGTGACCTGCAGCATTAGGATTCCTTCACTCGACAGGAGACGGGGACTTTTTTTATTGAACCAGTCGCTGCTGTTTGGTCGTGACGTTTGTAAAGCTCCAAATCCTGTAGGAAGAAGAACAAGAACGACTTTCCCCGAGATCAAACTCACCAAACATTCTCTTTGTTCTGACTTTAAATCCTCGAGGATCTGGGGAATCGTTGACGACACAGAACGTCTGTCTGTCCAAACTCACACTTCTGAGGTTCTTGTAAATCGTCTAGTGTTTTCTGATCCCTGACCGAGAGCTGGAGAGAAATTAAACTGAGCAGAGGCACTAGGTGGCGCCAGACTGACTAGATGTTTGCTCGTCTCAGTCCAGAATGTTCTTTTCTCTTTTACAGCGTCACAAACAGAAGATTTGAGTTGTTTTTGTTCTGTTTTGTGTTTTGTTGTTCGTGTTTCGTTGTTTCCTTCTCGTGTTCTGTCCTGTTCCTTTTTCCCTCTCACTCCTGGATGGTGCGGTGAGGAAGTGCGTCTGCAGGTGGCGCTGTCGTCCTGACTCCACCCAGACCAAGACACAGACCAAGACCAAGACCCAGACCAAGACCCAGACCAAGACCAAGACCAAGACCAAGACCCAGACCAAGACCAAGACCAAGACCAAGACCCAGACCAAGACCCAGACCAAGACCCAGACCAAGACCAAGACCAAAGAGGAAGAGGAAGAGGAAGAGCAGAACAAACTGTCAGGAGGAAAACAAACTCTGGGGCTGAAAAAAAAAAGAACCTAAGAACATAAATTATCGGAAAACCAAAAGAACCTGATTGGAGCAGCTGATATTTGGCTGATACTTATATTTAAGTTTCCTTAACTTGAAGTAAAAATCACAAAAGAACTTTTCACATTTGTAAACATAAATACAAATGCACCTGGGAAACAGCTGTGGACTGTGGAGTTTTTCTGTTTCCATTTTCACATCATGTGTCGGTTCTGACCCTGAACATCGAGTGTCTCCAACATGTGACTGTTTGTTTGGATCATGAACTCGTCTGAGGCAGCGGCTGAAATCCCCTTTGACAAACTCTCGGGTCGAGTTTTCAACAGATTCAATTTGAAACAGACACACATTTTTATTCTATTATTTTTTTATTTTAGTCAAATTAATAACCACAACTTAATTTGACCATCTACTTCAAATCAAAAACACAAAACTATTTTTTTATATACAGCCAGTGTTGGGAAGTGACTTTTAAAATGTAATCCCCTACAGATTACAGATTACAGATTACACACACCAAAATGTAGTTTGTAACATAATCCATTAAATTACTTAAGGTGAGTAATGTAATCTGATTACTTTGGATTACTTGATTTGCTGTAGAGAAACAAAGACGAGGAAGAAGTTTTGTCTGATAAAAGAAAATAAAAAGTCCAAACTTTACTGAACCAAATAAAAAATATTATTGATAGAAAATGAAGAAACACGTCCACACAGCAGGAGTTAGACCTGGTTCAGTCCTGGTTCAGTCCTGGTTTAGACCTGGTTTAGACCTGGTTTAGACCTGGTTTAGACCTGGTTTAGTCCTGGTTTTAGACCTGGTTTTAGACCTGGTTTTAGACCTGGTTTAGACCTGGTTTAGACCTGGTTTAGACCTGGTTTGGACCTGGTTTGGACCTGGTTTGGACCTGGTTTAGACCTGGTTTTAGACCTGGTTTAGACCTGGTTTAGACCTGGTTTGGACCTGGTTTGGACCTGGTTTAGACCTGGTTTGGACCTGGTTTTAGACCTGGTTTGGACCTGGTTTAGACCTGGTTTAGACCTGGTTTTAGACCTGGTTTAGACCTGGACCTTTTAGACCTGGTTTTAGACCTGGTTTGGACCTGGTTTAGACCTGGTTTAGACCTGGTTTGGACCTGGTTTAGACCTGGTTTAGTGTCCGGCAATGACTGGAATTACCAAACAAAACAAAACAAAAAAAACCTGGTTCAGCCCAAAATGTGAAAACGGGAAAATCCCTCTGTTTAATCCATTTATTTCAACAAAGTAACTGTAATCCAATTATTACTCACTGAAACAGTAACTGTAACTGAATACAGTTACTCATCATTTGTACTCTGATTACTTAACTCCAGTACATGTAGCTTTATAATTTCAGGCGTTGTGTTTCTACTGATGCAGATCTCAACAAAAAAGACATAAATAAAAACTCCTTTGTGACGTTATGACGTGAAATAACTTTTACTGTAACTTTAAAGGGTCCATCTGATGCAAAATCCACTTTTCAGATCTTTCTACGTCTCAGACTGATGTGTGGCCTTGGATTTGTCGCTGAAGTGGTTTTTAGATTGATTCGGCATTTTTTTAAACAAATTGCAGCATATTTGTGTCACCCTCCCACGTGACGACGAACTAAAGCTGCTACAAGGACGACGCGGCAGATTCACCTGTGACACGCCCCCCCCACCTCCACCGCGTCCGCCCTGACTGCACTGACACCATATAATAAGTTTATCTCCTAGTGTTTATTAAAACTTTACCGATCAGTAATGTTCAGCTGATGTGGACTCGGTGCTTGAGCTTCGTGCTCCTCAAAGTCCTCGTCCAATTCCGGGTCCAACACATGCGGCTGAACGCGCTGTGTCTCCATGAGGAAGAAAAGTTTATTCCTGCCTCTGTCAGGGTCACACCTGTCTCCCCCTCCCTCCCTGAGACGGCGGAGGAAGGGCGGCTCACTCGTCGCCTACGTCACGTTTGGAGGGGGCGGAGCCTGTGCTTTCTCAGGACGGGCGGGGGGAGGAGCAACAGTCGGACTGACTGAAATCAGGAAGATTTCAGAACCATTGTGTCATGGATGTTCCAAAACCCAAATTGTGCTTGTTTTTGTGCAGAAGAAACAATGTGAAAAGGTTATTTTACATCAGATGGGACCTTTAATTTACACATAAATCGAATCAGGCCGAGATGAAAACGTTTGTCGTGTGTGAAGTCGTGTGTGAAGTCGTGTGTGAAGTCGTGTGTGAAGTCGTGTGTGAAGCGTCCCCTCTCACCAGTTTGTCGATGCCGCCGCAGTGCCGCACCGTCCGTCTGGCCTTGCGGATCTTGGCGACGTTGGCGAGGGTTTCCGCCGCCAGCGCCTGCAGCTCGGGCAGCTGGATGTCCAAGCAGCGGCACCAGGCTCTGGACGCCCTGCAGCTTCACCATGGACCTCTGGATCTTCACGTTGTGGCTGATCACACGCAGGATTTTCAGAGACCCGATCTGCAGCAACACGAGTGTGAAAGGTTCAGGGTTCTGTCACTGTGAGTCGTCCCGCGGCGCGAGTCGTCCCGCGGCGCGAGTCGTCCCGCGGCGCGAGTCGTCCCGCGGCGCGAGTCGTCCCGCGGCGCGAGTCGTCCCGCGGCGCGAGTCGTCCCGCGCGCGAGTCGTGCAGCAGATCTTCACTACAGAATCTTCACTCGTCATTCAGTTCATTTTGAGGCTCAGTGTTTATTGTGTGACTCGTTTCTTTACAATAATGGGGGAATTTTTAATTTTAATTATTTTTTGTCGTAATACAAACAGATTTGTGCTTCACCGGGTTGTAAAAGTATTTGGTTTATTCTGTTATTTATTCGTTGCTGCTCTTTAATGATCCAGTTTATTTCAATGTTTCTTTTCTGGGATTATTCGACCTGAAGGTTTTTGTAGAATATAGTTTCAGTGTTTTGTTTATCGCACATTTTCTTTGTGTTTGAAACGTTTTATTGCGACAGGCCTGGTCAGGATCAGGTCAGGATCTGGTCAGGATCTGGTCAGGATCTGGTCAGGATCAGGTCAGGATCTGGTCAGGATCTGGTCAGGATCTGGTCAGGATCTGGTCAGGATCAGGTCAGGATCTGGTCAGGATCTGGTCAGGATCAGGTCAGGATCTGGTCAGGATCTGGTCAGGATCTGGTCAGGATCTGGTCAGGATCTGGTCAGGATCTGGTCAGGATCTGGTCAGGATAATTCTTATGAAATATGAACAGGCCTTTAGTCTGAACCACCAAACACTGTCCCCCCAGAACCAGTCGCACCCGGTCGCCCCATCAGTCGGTCCTGTCAGTCGGTCCTGTCAGTCGGTCTGTCTGTCAGTGTCGGTCCGTCTGTCAGTCGTCCCGTCAGTTTGGTCTTGTCAGTCGGTCCTGTCAGTTCGGTCTGTCCGTCAGTCTGTCGGTCCTGTCAGTCGGTCCTGTCAGTTGGTCCTGTCAGTCGGTCCTGTCAGTTGGTCCTGTCAGTCGGTCCCGTCAGTTGGTCCTGTCAGTCGGTCCTGTCAGTCCTGTCAGTTGGTCTTGTCAGTCGGTCCTGTCAGTTGGTCCTGTCAGTCGGTCCTGTCAGTTGGTCCTGTCAGTTGGTCCTGACTCGGTGTCACTCACGATGCAGCGGATTTCCTTCGTGTCCAGGATGTTGAGCAGAAGTTTGAGTCCCCCCAGGTCCCTGATGGACAACTGAAACATCTCCTGCCTCAGGTCCAACTCCATCAGAGAACACATGGTCAACACCGTCGCAGTCTGGTCACCCTCCTGAACAAACACACACACACAACACACACACAACACACACACAACACACACACACACACACACACACACACACACACACACACACACACACACACACACACACACACACACACACACACACACACACACACACACACACACACACACACACACACACACACACACACACACACACACACACACACACACACACACACACAACACACACACAACACACACACACACACACACACACACACACACACACACACACAACACACACACACACACACACACACACACACACACACACACACACAACACACACACACACACACACACACACACACACACACACACACACACACACACACACACACACACACACACACACACACACACACACACACACACACACACACACACACACACACACACACACACACACACACACACACACACACACACACACACACACACACACACACACACACACACACACACACACACACACACACACACACACACACACACACACACACACACACACACACACACACACACACACACACACACACACACACACACACACACACACACACACACACACACACACACACACACACACACACACACACACACACACACACACACACACACACACACACACACACACACACACACACACACACACACACACACACACACACACACACACACACACACACACACACACACACACACACACACACACACACACACACACACACACAACACACACACACACACACACACACACACACACACACACACACACACACACACACACACACACACACACACACACACACAACACACACACACACACACACACACACACACACACACACACACACACACACACACACACACACACACACACACACACACACACACAACACACACACACACACACACACACACACACACACACACACACACACACACACACACACACACACACACACACACACACACACACACACACACACACACACACACACACACACACACACACACACACACACACACACACACACACACACACACACACACACACACACACACACACACACACACACACACACACACACACACACACACACACACACACACACACACACACACACACACACACACACACACACACACACACACACACACACACACACACACACACACACACACACACACACACACACACACACACACACACACACACACACACACACACACACACACACACACACACACACACACACACACACACACACACACACACACACACACACACACACACACACACACACACACACACACACACATACACACACACACACACACACACACACACACACACACACACACACACACACACACACACTGAACAATGCTTTTGTCGTTCGGTTAAACACACACCACCTGTTTGTCTCTTGGGAAATGTTGTTGCATTTCCTGGAATGTTCCACTTTATGGCATTAAACTGATTTCCATAAACAGGTCATTATTTGCGTCACGAACTCACAAACTTCTCTTCTGTTATTCTGTTATTCTTCGTCTGCTGCAGCTTTGGACTTTGGTTTGATTTAGTTTGTGACAAAAGTGCAGAAGAAGTAAAAACGTTTTTGCCTGAGAATCAAATCCGAGTCCGAGTCTGGTCTGAAAACAGGTTTAAATGTGAACAGTTCTAGTTCTGCTCTGTAAATCATGGAATAAAATCTCACACAGTTTTACCAGGGAAACAAAACCATCTCCATGGAGACAAGCAGAAAGTTCCACAGTGTGTGTTTGTGTGAGTGTGTTTGTACCCGCAGGTATTTGATGAGCGTCTGCAGGCGGAGCTGCTCCGACGGCAGGTCTGTGCCGGAGTCTGGGCGTCGCTCCAGCTCCTCCTCTTCCTCCTCTTCACTCTCAGGAGAACTTTCACTCAGAACCTCCCTGAGCCTGGAGCGAGCGGGCGTCCGGCTGAACACACACACAACACACACACACACACACACACACAACACACACACACACACACACACACACACACACACACACACACACAAACACACACACACAACAGCACGTTTAGACCAGAAGGACCAGAGGCTTTTTACTTTCCTCATGAACTGTTACATGTGCCTCAGTTTGAACTTCAGGCCCATGAAGCCTGGAGCTGTTCAACTCTAGTCCTTGAGTCCTTGAGTCCTTGAGTCCTTTAGTCCTTTAGTCCTTGAGTCCTTGAGTCCTTGAGTCCTTGAGTTCTTGAGTCCTTTAGTCCTTGAGTCCTTTCTTTGGTCTCTTCAATCCAATCAAAATCAAAAATATCAAAAACGTTTCTCAGCTCTTCCAAGCTGCTTCTTCAGCTCTGGTCAGACGCTGGTGGACACTTCCATATATTTGTCTGCAGGGAGGAGCTAACTACGCTGAAACTACTCTGAAACTACTCTGAAACTATACTAAAACTACACTGAAACTACTCTGAAACTATACTAAAACTACACTGAAACTACTCTGAAACTACTCTGAAACTATACTAAAACTACACTGAAACTACTCTGAAACTATACTAAAACTACACTGAAACTACTCTGAAACTATACTAAAACTACACTGAAACTACACTGAAACTACTCTGAAACTATACTAAAACTACACTGAAACTACTCTGAAACTACACTGAAACTACTCTGAAACTACACTGAAACTACTCTGAAACTACACTAAAACTACACTGAAACTACTCTGAAACTATACTAAAACTACACTGAAACTACACTGAAACTACTCTGAAACTATACTAAAACTACACTGAAACTACTCTGAAACTACACTGAAACTACTCTGAAACTACACTGAAACTACTCTGAAACTACACTAAAACTACACTGAAACTACACTGAAACTACTCTGAAACTACACTGAAACTACTCTGAAACTACACTGAAACTACTCTGAAGCTACACTAAAACTACACTGAAACTACTCTGAAACTACACTGAAACTACTCTGAAACTACACTAAAACTACACTGAAACTACACTGAAACTACTCTGAAACTACACTGAAACTACTCTGAAACTACACTGAAACTACACTGAAGCTTTGCATGTAGAGTGTCCAGTCGTCCTTGTGTCTCCGGGACAGTCCCAGTTTTGAGTCTGTGTCTCTGTCCCTGCAGATTTATACAAAACCACTGATTTGTCTCAGTTTATACAAAAAATGTCCCAGTGTCTCTATTTTGAACCAATCTGAAGAGAAATATAAACTTTTAAATTTGTTGAGGTAAACTACAAAAAAATCTGCTTAAAAATGATGAAAACACAAATAAAATGTGACTGTACTGACTCACATGTTGGTCATGAATTGTCTCTTCCATAATTACACACTCGTTTCACAATTTTATTATTACTAACCACCAAAAAATGAGGATGTCCTGGGTTTTATTTTGAAATTCTGGTCCCCCTAATCACGATGGAACGTACCTGAACCACTGAGGGATCACACAGACATAAGAACACATGGACCATTTAATGTTGAAAATCACATTCTATCTGAAGATTCGTCTAAAGAAAGAGTTTTTAATTCTCATGGTGTCTCAGAGTCAGTGTCGAGTATCAGGTCTATAGTCCAGTTTGAGCTGACGTCATTGTTATTAAAAACCCGCGTTGCTGCTGGGAAATATTTAGTTCGGAGGCAGAAACACAGTAGCGTCAAACACAGTGTGTAACCTCCTGTATTTCTCCTTGATATTGGTAAATTCCTGCTGCATTATCAGACGCACAAATAGAAACACGGAAGAAGGAAAATGTCTTTTTCATATTCTGAGTGAAAAGAACCACTAACGGTGAATTAAACGACTTTCAAACATCCGCAGAGCAAACGTAGAAGATCCTAACAAACCGTGGACTCAACAAGTTCAACAACACATCCAGACTCTTGGAGGTTTTCATCTTTTCTGCTGTGAATGGCCCAGGAGTTTCACCAAGTCATTGTGGATAATAATATTATTATTATAAATATTTGTCCAGGGAGTTGGAGATTCTGACCAAAAGTTTGGTTTGGTCCAGACTCTGTCGGGGTTGAAAAGGGAGATTTGTCGTCCGTCGATGTTTATGACCAATTTCTGGTCAAATGTTCTTGGGTCGTCTGCCGTTAGAGTGGATCAATAACCGGGATCAATACCCTTTACGTGTTTTCTCGCTCCGTCCGTCATGTTGAATCAGTGTTTCTTGCCGCCGACCAAAATAATTCCCATCATGCAACGCACGCTTTTGTCAACAATGAAACTCGTCTATTCTTACGTAAGTTTTGAAGTGTCAGTGTCATGACGACAGCAGCAGAATCTCGTTACCTCTTCTGCGGCGAGAAGCGTCCGGGCAGAGACGTGACGGAGACGTTGGCTCTGGACTTGGAATCCTGTTTTCCTCTGTCGGCTTTTCTGCGCTCGTTTAAAACACAAACATGAGGAGCGAGACTTTTCTCAGGTTTAGACAAACAAACACCTCAAACAAACTCTTCGTACCGACTGTCGGAGCGACGACTCGTCCATTTCACCACCGGCTCCGGCTTTTTCCAGACCGGACTCCCAAACCCTGGAACAGCGCTGAACTTAAAAAAACAGACAAAGCAAGTTCATTTACAGAGCACAATTTGTACAGTTATTTACAGAAGAAGAGCGACATTAAAACAGCAAAACAGACTCATCGAAACAAAAAACAAAGACCATTTTGAGTCTGGATTTAAAGAGCATGTGACAGATTTAGATCATTGTGTTTTTATCGATATTATCAAGTTTGAAATGTTTGTATCGTGACCAAAACTCTAAACTCTCTCTCTGGACTCTGGCTCTGTAAACTCGGTGTTGTTCGATCACCAGGTCACGTGTGGATTTACCTCCTTGAGAAGGTTTTGGGCGAAATAATGAGACTTGGTCTTGAGCAGCGACGTGAGGTCTTCAAACACGACGTCGCTGATCTGCTCGTACTCGTCCTCGTCTGCGTCAAACTCCTTCACACCCTGAAGAAAAACAACAACACTCATCAGGACCAGGGACTCGAGCTCTGGGTCCTTCACCTGCTCGTTTCTATGGAGACGTCGCTGCTCTGTCTGAAATGTTCCGCAGTGTGACATTAAACAGCTCCACTTTGCATTTATTCAGTTACAGAAGGTTTTATCTCTCAAAAAAACAGACATTGTGACCGTGAGCCTGTCCACAGATCTGACCTGTAACTCGGCCTGGTTTGGTCTCCATGAAGATAAAAAGGAACATTCCAGACAAAGTAATAACGTCTCCATGGAGAAAAGCAGAAAAGTTACACAATACAGCTTTAATGTGGAGAGGAAAACGTTCTTCATTCACATCGTCTCAGAGAAGAAGTCCGGGTTTAGTCCTGGTTTAGTCCTGGTTTAGTCCTGGTTTAGTCCTGGTTTAGTCCTAGTGAAATCCGGGTTTAGTCCTGGTTTAGTTCTGGTGAAGTCCTAGTTTAGTCCTGGTTTAGCACTTTCCAGAGTTCTTCAGAGGGCATAAAGCGAACAACTAGCACGCTAACTGTGCACTTCCTCATTCTTGGAGCAAGTGCACTAAACTTCAATTTGAACATGAAGTATCTCTCGCCCTCTCTAAACCAGGACTAAACCAGGTCTGAACCAGGTCTAAACCAGGACTAAACCAGGACTAAACCAGGGTGAGATGTTTTGCCGTCAGTCCCTGTGACTCTTTTGCGTTGGGGTTTGACTCGTTCTGTTCACACACACACAGATTAAAGTGGTGGTGAGTAGTGGGGACCTTGTTGAGGAAGACCCCGCGGCGGCTGTAGGTGGCGCTCAGAGGCTCCGTGTCAAAAGTCTCGATGGTGACGTAGGAGATTTCCCCCTGGAGCTGCCTGTGCGGAGGAGCGCGGCAGCCGTTCGCAAACACAAAGTCTGGAAGAGCAAAGATCGTTAAAGATTAACACGAGTAACACGAAGTCTACGAGTGATGCTCTGCAGGGACATCGCTCTGGGGGGATCTACGTCGAACTCTTTCGGCAGAATATTCAGCGGCAAAATCTATATATACACAAAATGGATATACAGAATTTTTGGATTATAAGTCGCATGTTTTTTCATGTTTTGGGTGTTTCCTGTGACTTATACTCTGGTACGACTTATATATTAAAACATATCATTTCACATGTTTGTTATTTTTACACTGACAGTCGACAGGGGGCGCTCTAGGCTTGTGTGTCAGTATCTGCTCCTCCTGTTACTTCTGCATCACTGAAAATCTAAAATTTAAACATGAACTTATTAAAACGACTGAGAAGACTGAACACAAATGCCCCAAAAGAAAATCAGGTTCTGCAGATTACAAACTGCAAGTCGTGAAATCTGCAACTGAAAACGGAAATCAAGCAGCAAAAAGAAAGTTTGGAGTGAGGGACACTTGAAAAGAGGAGGAGACTCGAACTGCAACAAAGAAAACAAAAAAAGTTCAGCGTGGGCGTAAAGCTCGACGGCTACAGCGAGAGGAACAAGTTCACAGATGGTGTTTGAACATCGTGCTGCTGGGAGAAGCTCGTCCACGGTGCAGTGACGTCTCCACAGACAATGATGTTCCAAAAACGATGTCCCAAAAACTCCACAGACGTCGATGTCCCAAAAACTCCACAGACGTCGATGTCCCAAAAACTTCAAACCGACTTCCAAACTGAGGCCGACTGTTTGATGTGTTGAAATGTTTGTTCCTGGTCTCTGATTTCATCAAATAAATTCCCCCCAAATGCGACTTGTAAATGTTTTTTTCTTCTACGTTACATCTTTTTTGTCTGGTGCGACTTATACTCTGGAAAATACAGAACTCAAGACATTTTCAGGAGCCTGTGATCAGGACACAAACTGCTCTCTACTGTTTAGGGGAATTACAGTTATGTATAAAATAAAAATATTAACTGGGACGTCCCCGTTTTGGTGGTTGGTGATAATGAAACTGTGAAAGGAGTGTGACACTGTGGAAAATTGTTCTACAGAGACAATTCATGATGAACATGAGTCAGTACAGTCACATTTTCTTTGTTTTTTTAAGCTGATTTTCTGTATTTTACCAAAGCAAATGTCAGTTTTTGTCTCTTTACTGTTGCAGGGTCAGATTGATCAAAAATAGAGACTCTGGGACATTTCTTGTATAAACTGGGACAAATCAGTGGTTTTGTATAAATCTGTGGGACACAGAGACACAGGGACATAAACTGGGACATAAACTGGGACATAAACTGGGACTGTCCCGGGGACACAGGGACGTCTGGACTGTGACTGTGGTTTGAACCAAATCAGGTCTGTGTGTTCAGGTCATGTTCAATTAAACTGATCAGGTTAAAGTTTAAACAGAAGATTAGAGCGTCTGACAGAGCAGTGCTTCAGTTAGCGTCACATCCCCACGGAATGTTGATGTTGTTGACATCATTGTGTGTGTAAATGTGTGTGTAAATGTGTGTAAGTGTGTGTGTAAATGTGTGTAAATGTGTGTGTGTGTAAATGTGTGTAAGTGTGTGTGTAAATGTGTGTGTAAAACTGTGTAAATGTGTGTGTGTGTGTAAATGTGTGTAAAGTGTGTGTGTAAATGTGTGTGTAAAAGTGTGTAAATGTGTGTGTAAATGTGTGTGTAAAAGTGTGTAAATGTGTGTGTGTGTAAATGTGTGTGTGTAAATGTGTGTGTGTGTAAATGTGTGTGTGTGTAAATGCATGTAAATGTGTGTGTAAATGTGTGTGTAAAAGTGTGTAAATGTGTGTGTGTGTAAATGTGTGTGTGTAAATGTGTGTGTGTGTAAATGTGTGTAAGTGTGTGTGTAAATGTGTGTAAGTGTGTGTGTAAATGTGTGTGTAAATGTGTAAATGTGTGTGTGTAAACGTGTAAATGTGTGTGTGTAAGTGTGTGTGTGTGTAAATGTGTGTAAGTGTGTGTGTGTAAAAGTGTGTAAATGTGTGTGTAAATGTGTGTGTAAGTGTGTGTGTAAGTGTGTGTGTGTAAATCTGTGTGTAAGTGCCTGTGTAAATGTGTGTAGTGTGTGTGAAAGGATCTGTAGTATGTGTGAAGGGGTCTGTAGTGTGTGTGAAGGGGTCTGTAGTACGTGTGAAGGGGTCTGTATTGTGTGTGAAGGGGTCTGTAGTGTGTCCAGGTCCATGTCCCACTGGTTCTTTTGAATTTCATTTAAGAACGAAAAACAATAAAATGGGAAAACAGATTATTATTTTATTTTTCTGTTTTGGTGTCAAACAAACAAACAAACAAAAAATAGATTTCGACCTCGATTTCCAATATTTAATTTAAAGTTTAAAAGTTTCAAAAATCAGTCTCGGTGCCGTTTTAATGTTTTTTCTTCTCTGTTTCTTTGAGGTTCTGTTGTGGATCCAGAGTCGACCATAAAACTGTAATAAAAATGATTTTTATTACAGTTTTATGGCGTCACTGAACAGAGGACAGTTTCTTGTTGTTTCCTGTTTCTCTTCGTGGATCAACGACGAGTTTCTGAGACGTGGAACTAAACGTGTCGCAGTAAAAGACGAAACATGTTTGTCACAAAAAAAGATTTTTCAGCTTCGTCCTTAAACCAGAAAATAAAATATCAACATCAAAATAATCACAAGACGTTTTTTGATTGGTGATATTTGAAATAAACTTTAAATTAAATATTGGAAATAGATAAAAATCAGTTTTTTTTGTTTGACACTAAAACGGAAAATTGAAATAAACTTGTTTTATTGTTTTTCGTTCTTAATTAAAATTCAAAAGACCAAACGGGACTTGGACCCTGGACGTGTCGATAAACACATCGAGTCGTGTTTGAACCTGAAGTGTAGCGCAGAGATCTGAGCAGAGAACGCTCGTCGTCTCCACAGAAGATCATCAGGGACTCCACCTCGTTCTTCGTGATGCTGACGTGGAGATGCACCTGTCTGCAGAGGAACACAGGAGAACGTCTCACACTGGAGCTACAGAGAACGTTATGAGAACGTTATGGAGAACGTTATAGAGCGATGAAGAACGTTATGGAGCGATGAAGAACGTTATGGAGCGATGAAGAACGTTATGGAGCGATGAAGAACGTTATGGAGCGATGAAGAACGTTATGGAGCGATAAAACTCTGCAGATTTTTTGTCTTACTCTGAGATCTGCTGCAGCACTTTGTCCATGAGGCGCTGGTTGAGTTTCTGCAGTAACTGGACCAATTTCACTTTCGGTTCTTGATCTTTCACTTTGTCGATTTGTTTCCCGTCGGACTCGAGGAGAGCGGAGAACCTGGACCCGACCATCTGAGACACAACGTCTGGGTTTTCTGAAACACGAAGCACATGAGGTTC